GGCCCTGCTGCACTGACTCTCCTGCATGTTTTCTTGTTTGCTCTAAGGCTGTCCGGCAAGGCTGGGACTGCCTCTCCCATTTTAGGAGACAAGGGAAGAGAAGTTCAGAAAATTCCACGGCGAGGACCTGGGGGCCTGGTGAGGACACGGGCTGGAGGCTGAGGCCACTGCGGCCCCAGTGGACACAATGTTGTTCATTCACACTCCAGGGGAGGGAGTCACTTCAGGGTGGGGTTTGCTAACTTCGCATAGCAATTTAAGAATACTGACCCGGCCGTTTCTGGGAATGCAGCCGGGGAAGGGAGCTGATGGCTTGTGCTCCAGAAGGGCAGGCCCTTTACTAGTTACCTAATCAGACATCACTGGAAAGGTGAGTGTCTTGGGAGAAAAGCGTCACGTGCAGCCAACCTGCGATGGTTCTGAGCACCAGCCATGCTGCGCTCTCCAGACAGACTGCTCCCAGGAGAGAGGGGTGACACCCGGAGCCAAGGCTGTCCCCGAGGAGACCCCTGGTGAGTTGGCCTTGGGTGGCCGGGTGTGGATTTCCCCCAACCGCAGCCTCCGTGGGCAGCATCTAGAGTGGGGGCTCTGAGCCAGGCTCAGAGTTTGGTTCTATTTGCTGCCTGCAGAAATCAGCTTCAAACCCTCCCTCCCCTCCCCTGCCTGGTGTCCAGAAGGACCTTCCTTCTGTGGAATTCCTGTGTTGCAGGGGCAGCCTAGTGGACGGAGGTGGGGCAGGGACTCCACTGGTGTCCCCAGTCTCGTGGGCACACCTGCCTTGCACAGCTGAGGCAGGCACACAACGGACCATGCCCAGCTGACACCCCCCACCCCCGGCACTCACCAAATGTGATCCTTCCCTTCTCCTCCCCGTCGATGGCCTGGAAGAGGTCGGCCACAGGAAGCTCCGCCACCCCCAAGGCCGTCCTGAGGATGCAGGACAGGTCGGCCTCATCTATGCTGCTGTCCTCCTGCGACCCGTACATCTGCAAGGCAAGGTGCGGCGTGACCTCGCAGCCTCCCCCTGCTGCCCAGCCGGGCTGCTCCTCATCCCCTGGATGTCCCGGCTTTCCACCTTCACAGAACTCTGGGCACCCTTGGGGCCAGGTTGTGCCTGGTACGAGTGGACGGTGAGCATCAGAGTGGAGCTGCGTCCTAGGCCATCTGACCTCAACTCCCAGCACCCCTGGGTGCCTCGTGGACACTCAGCAAACACCGCTGGGCCCAAGGAGTCAACGCTGTTGATCCCCGCCTGGGAAAACTGACTGAACGACTCAGGCACAGCCAGACAGATGCAGAGACTCGGTGCAACCTGGGGCTGGGCCTTGGGTGTGCCGTGGGGCGAAGCCCAGGTTTCAGGATTTCCTTGACAGCACTTTTGCCTGTGACAGCTGGATCCGACCCTTACAGATGGACAGAAATGCTTCCTGCGGGGAGGGAGACTGTGCTTGGAGCCCAAGGAAGGAGATGAGGGGTTTACGTTGCGGACACAGGGACCCTGGAGTCAGAGCAGGAACAGGACACCACGGTCCACCATTAACCTCACACTCTAGAAATGTTTCCTGCGGGGAGGGAGACTGTGCTTGGAGCCCAAGGAAGGAGATGAGGGGTTTATGTTGCGGACACAGGGACCCTGGAGTCAGAGCAGGAACAGGACACCACGGTCCACCATTAACCCAGAAATGCTTCCTGCGGGGAGGGAGACTGTGCTTGGAGCCCAAGGAAGGAGATGAGGGGTTTACGTTGCGGACACAGGGACCCTGGAGTCAGAGCAGGAACAGGACACCACGGTCCACCATTAACCTCACACTCCTACAGGCCTACCTTCCCCTCCTCCTGCTCTGATTCTGGAGGCAGCGGCTCCCTGCCTGCTCGGTACCTAGACCAGGGCTGCAGGAGGGTCAAGGGCCTGTACCTGCGCCTGCCGGGCGCCTACAAACACTGGGCTCCCAGAGTCTGCAGGGCCCACCCCTCCCCCTTCCGCAGCTCCACACGGACCCCATGAGCCGGGGACCCAGATCCGCCCGCTCAGTGCCCATCTTCCTTCTGCCCCAGTGGAAGCACTTCATGGTCCGTGCTGGAGGCAGCGTGGGCCTTGCAGCTGGGCCCACCCCATCTCTCGAGGCCTGCGGCTACCCCTGGGTGCCCCCATCTACACCTGGCTTCAAAAAGCACCTGTGCCCGCTGACAGCTCCTGCGTCCTCATCTTTGTCCTAGATTTCTCTGCTGCTTTTAGATTTGTCAGATCAAATGTCTGCAGACTAAATCCACCTCGGTGCTGCTGGAACCTCACAGTTAAGCAAAGCCGGACCCAAGCCATGTGGCCTCCCACCAGCCCCCCTCTGGTCCCAACGCCAGCTCCGCCGCGGGCACAGCAGTGCTCCTCCCACCCCACCTAGCGGTCATGCAGTGAATAGCAGCGGCTTCGGGGGACACTGCAAGCTGCTGCAGCACGCGTTTCTGCATTCAGAAAATTACTTAGAAATTTATTAGAAAAAATTATACGAGAAAACGCTGGGAGGCAGGCCTGGGCCCACGCTGGGCAGAGACCTCGGGCTTGCATTTTCCCCCTTTCTGAGCCCGTAGCATTTTTACCACAGGAATAATGATACAAAAGAAAGCAAAATGCGGGACCCCAACAGTGCATTAAAAATGATTTCGAGTTCCCCTGGGAAGTCCCAAGTGCTGGCAGCATCTGTGTTTGGGACCATCAGTGCTATCATAACACAACTTTGTATCTCGACAGTCAGCCCAGGAGGAAATTTGACTGTAAAGCCAGGAAGGCGCGACTATCTCTACATCTAAAGTGCAGCCTGTGATGTGGTCACCCACACACCCTTGATGCGGGGTGCCCCAGGGCCTTCCTGTCACTGGCAAGCCCCACTGGAAGGTGCCGAGGGGCCCAGGGGAGGTGCCCCAGAGGCAGCAGATGAGGACAGTGCAGCATATTTAGCAAACGGAGATGCTGTGAAAGGCGTGGGCTGCAGGCAGGGACATGAGGGAGGCCTGCAGGAAGGTGCGGTACGGCGGGTAACCTGGAGAGTTAGACCCGCCAGCCAGGACCGTGCGGACATCTGCGGGGCACCCACTGCAGCCACTGCAGGCTGACGCAGGGCAGGACCCAGTAGTGCTGTGTGGATTTGGCGCCAGCCGCATCTGCTCCGCTGGTAGCTCCCAGAGGAGATCACACAGCTGTCCCCAAGGTGGCTGCCGAGGAGCAGCATGTGCTGTAACCCACGGCACAAGTCCACCTGAGAAGACCTGCTGGTGACACGCACACCAGCCCGTCTAGGCGCCCTGGGACATGGGAAGCCCTCTTCCTGCCTTTCCTGTGGGTGTGGATTGCTTACTCTGGGAGAAAACAGTCAAGGGTTTTTTGGGAATTTTACAATGGCTAGCACAAACTTCTGTAAAAATAGCAGTTAGGCAAATAATAAATTTGCCAATATGATAACGGACGATAAACTATGTCACAAGACCATGCTCAGGTCCCTACACATCAGATGCACGTAGAATCTGTACTTGCCTTGAACGCCAGCTGTATGGTGTCCAGGGTCTGGGAAGGCCTGCAGACGACGGACAAGGCGACCACGTACTCCCGCAGGTCCATCTCGCCGCCCCCGCCCTGTGGGAGAGACGGGCTTGGGTGACGGCTCAGCCCCCGGGCACACGAGTAGAACCAGTGTTTCTCACGGTCCCAGTGCCAGTCCCAGTCTGGCTGACACCACCAGCCCCAAAAGAAGGGCGTTTTGCAAGAACATCCCTAACCAGCTGGGTTCTCCTGGGTAACTGCACTGTGTACACTTCCTTAGGCCATTACAATTCACTGTCAAACCCTATGGAACTGCTCCATGAAGTGGTCTCAGCAAAGCACATGTGAAATAAGGACTGTCACCTGCCAAGACTCACATTTTAGGGAAAAAACCCAGCAAACACCAACGCTCATTTTAGCCTCTGAGAATTCACTCTCTTTAGGACAAAATAAGTGGATCTCGAGCCAGCAACGCGGCGTCGACGCGAGCACCAGGTCACTGGAATTCAGCCTGTGCCCCGCACAGACTGAGTTGCCTCTGAGAATTCACTCTCTTTAGGACAAAATAAGTGGATCTCGAGCCAGCGACGCGGCGTCGACGCGAGCACCAGGTCACTGGAATTCAGCCTGTGCCCCGCACAGACTGAGTCAGCACACACGCTTGTCTCCACGGGACTGTCAGCTGCTCTGGGTGAGCAGGTGGACGCAGAGAGAGGGGCGAGCTGGGTGCCCACGGGGACACTGGGGACCCTCTTCTGATGAGGAAGAAAACGGTCTGGACATGACTGAAGGGCACACCTCGGTTGGAGGAAAGGACCTCCTGAGCCACGTGAGGTGACGAGGAGATGAGCAGGAAGCAGAGGCAGAGGGGGGACTCCCTGGTCAGCAGCAGGGGGAGGACGTTGAGGAGGACCTGGGGGCAGAGGGAGCACCTCCCACCCCTGTGTAGACCATAGGCTGCAGGTCTCAGAGGCGAGGCACAAACGTCCCTGGTGTACTGTGAGAGAGAATGACAGCGTCTTTTGCAGGAGCCCCAGACCCGGCTCTCGCTGCATGAGGCCCAGGACGGTGGTCTCGGGAGGTGGGGCTCCAGGCAGGTGGGCTTCACATCAGACCCAGCACCTGCGCATCACGGTCTGAGCTCCTGTGTGTGAAGCCGAGACTACTCCCACCTCACAAGAACACTGTGCATTTGAAATAGTGGATATCGGAAAACGAAGAAGCCGCTCGCTGCCGTAGTGACCTCACACTGTTAGACGCTGAGCCAGTACTTTGCTGTTTCCTGTTCCACACCCAGCACTGTTGGAAGCACCGAGAACACAGCCACAGCTGTGGCTCTGACAGCAGCAGACACTTGCACGCAGGTGCGGCGACCTCTGCCTTTCTACCAGAGGGGCTGCTGCCGGAGCTTCGTCGTGCTGCGAGGTGGAAGAACATGCTGGATCACACGCCGTGTTGCTTCGCCGGCGGACAGAAGAGCAGGGACTGACACGATCCACAAACTCCCAGAGGCGCCTTCCTGTGTCCACGCCACACACTTGCTCCCCTCGGTTCAACCGAAGGCCGTGCTGCGGCTGCTCGGTGTCATTCACGTGCAGCACACCATGTTGTCACACAGAACGTGCCGTGTCGCCACACAGAACACACCGTTCTGAGGGGGGCCTCAGCACTTACCCTGTCCTGTGACGAGTGTTGACAGCACAAGTGTCAGTAATGTGACACAAACACCCAGAAAAGACCAGGCCTGGCAGATTTCTGGGTAAGCGTGGCCTCCTGCCCTCCTGCATGCAAGGTCCCATGCCTTCCCAAACCTGTACAGCCACCCCACATGTTCAGCGCCACAATAGCGCGAACGTCGACACCTCACTCAGCTACGATGTGTGACCTAATGATGACGTGCAGGGCGTGGGACAGCTGTCGTACCAGGAAGACACCCTCACTCGGTGACAGAAGGCTGCTGGAGAACCTCTAAAAGCCACCCCACATGTTCAGCGCCACAATAGCGTGAACGTCGACACCTCACTCAGCTACGATGTGTGACCTAATGATGACGTGCAGGGCGTGGGGCAGCTGTCGTACCAGGAAGACACCCTCACTCGGTGACAGAAGGCTGCTGGAGAACCTCTAAACCGGTCATCGAGAATGAGGCACATTATTCAGAAACTCTGCCGTGGCCAACAGGAGCTCCGGCGGAGCTGGCTAGTGGAAGTTCCGGAGAAGGGAGCCCCGGAGAGCACGGGCTGGGCGTTGCCGTCAGTAGGCCTCTTAGTGAGCTGATTTACAAAACCCCAAAACCACAGGCACGTTTATCAGCAAAGGATAACTTAGAAGTCAAATTTCTACATGCATTTAAAAGCATGGAAGGACATCACTGGGTGGGCTAATAAGGGGTGGTTTCCTTTTACTGCTTTCAAAATTGTCTAAAATATGTTTATATTATAATAAGAACAACTTATGTTTTGAAAAGTCAGAGGTTTCCCTTCCAAGATTCCCCCCTCCCCAGGTGACAGTCCCTACCTCATCGAACAGTGAAAACATGTCTTCGAGCACGCTAGAGACGGGGACCTCCAGGTACGCTGCAAACTCTGGAAGACCAATCTTTTCTCCCCTCTTCACCTTAGCACTTTCTGAATATTTGTCCAGATCTTTTTCAAGTTTTTCCGGTTTCAGCCTAAACAAAAAGAAGAGGGAAAAGTTTCTTTGTCAATAAAATTACTGAATGCTAAAAACAGGAGACTCACTGTTACAAGACTCATCACAGTATTAAAGTTGTTTATATCATAAGCAAGTTAGTTCTCAAGCAAAGGCATTCTAGTAATTTGGAGGGTGTGTAATGCATCTTGCCTGAGGGTCTAGGCAGGTGGTTGTGGACACCCCCTTCGGTGGCACCCGAGCAGATGGCTGGTGCCAAGCATCAGGGGTATTTCAGACACTTCTGTGTGGATTGAAATTGATATTTGAAACCAAACCAAACCAAACCGGAATAAGCATTATTAAGAATCATTTCCTGAATCACTAGCCCTGTGGCCTCACGTGGCTCCAGCTGGACCTGTTACTCAAGTAGCACCAGGGGACTCACCCGAGGCCCCGCACGAGCCGGGCAAATTCCAAAAGGCAAGTGTCGGCAGGGAGGCGGAGCTGTCCCTCCGCCAGGGCAAGCTGGCAGTCTTCAAATGTGTAGTCAGTCACGGAGACGCCCAAGGCCCTATGCAAGAGAGGAGGGCACCCGTGTCAGCCTGTCCCCACAGCAGCCTGTCCCCGCCATCCCCTCAGAGTAACGGGGTCAAGGGGCCACCAGGGCCTGGGGCATCTGAGGGCCTCCAGGGTAAATTGTCTTCTGAGGGCTCACCGGGAGTGATCTTCATGGTCTACACAGAAGGGGGTGACCGCTAACTACCTGCCAGAAGAAAAGCTCAGGGTGACAGAAGTCAGCAAGGGCCTCAACGACGTGGGCACCCGCCTCACAGGGCACTGGTTCCCTGTGGGTCTCTCCTGAATCAGCTCTGATAGAAACACAGGCGGTGGTGCCCTGTGACAACACATCGCACATCTTGCTCTGAGACCACCAGGCATCGACTCCAATGTCCTCTGCCCACGAGAACGTGCCTGTCCTGCCAGGTGTCTCCTCCCCCAGTGGGATCAAGGCAGCACAGCTTTATCTGCACAAGCAGTGATGCTTTCGCCGAGGTCTCAGTGTGTTTATTTTGTAGCCTATGCAAAATGTTATTCTTAAGTTAAAGATTAAAAAAGAAATATCTATAAATGCAGGCAGAGGCCACGGTGACAGAGGAAGTCATGAACAGAACAGGTGTCCAAGGACAGCGGCCGCCCCGGCTGCTAGAGAATGGGCCGACTTGGCGTGGGAAAGCCCCGGGGTGAGCCCCACCAGCCCTCGACTCCGAAAGAGCGGGAGGGAGCAGAGTCCGTCGTCCAAGTGTCAGAGAAACTAACACAAAGACCTTTAAGCACGGGCTGGAAGCACAGCGTGTGTGCAGACACGTGGCCAGCAGCAAGTCCTTGTATGTCCCGACTTCTGGGTGTGCCACCAGCCGGGGACCGGCACTCTGCCCTTCTCCCTTCCACTGGCACCTCAAAGGCAACTTCTAGCAATTCCAACAGCAAAAGTTACAGGTGGTAGAGGAAGCTCACGTCTATTCAAACGAAGCTGGGAAAAGCTGATGAAAAGAACTTGCTGGAAACATGGGCTTAAATCTCCCTTTCACACTCCCCCGGGTCTAGGGACATGTGCAGCCCCCTCCTCTTTACATGGGCTGGACTCGGGGACCAGTGTCAGTCTCAGCTTCCCTGAGCTATTCAGCCAGTGGCTGACAGACAGGAAAAGCCTCTTCCCTCTCCGGTGGAAGCAGAGGACGGGGCCTTGTGGCCTGCCCCCTCCTGCGGTCCCCATGTCAATGGGGCCTCCTCCTGCTCCTCACTGGCACCGGGAACCCAGAGGAGGGTGCGAGTGGGAGATACAGCACCTGAGCCTGCCACCCGTGCACCCGGGCACCTTTCCCAGAGCCCTGGGGGGACGGGGCCCTGGGCGTGAGCCCACACACACAAGCCTTCAACCACAGCACGGGGTGGTGGGTACCCCGGACAGAAGAGCAATGTGCAAAGTCCATATTTAGCACTAAACAGATGCTTAATAACTGATTCCAAATTTCAATGACTTTGAACACGGGGCTGCCCCAAGCTCCGCAGTTAGCGCGGCGTTATTGTGGTTTCCGTCCCACTAAACACGCACGCGTGTGGTGTCTGTAGTCACTCATTTGGTTTTATCCTGTGTCCACATCTATGCTGAAAATCAGCGCATCACGCTGTAAAATCCTGGGAGAGGTGAGGGCGTCTTAAAGAGAAGACACCCCCACAGGGGCGATGGGTGGGGAATCCCGACCCATCTCCATGGTGACTGGGGTCGTTCCTATCACGTTTCTGTCTTCAGCGCTGCCCTGAAGTCAAGACTGAGCCATCCTGCAGAGCTGCATCAGGTCTCAAGAAAAATAACCTTTCTTGACTATTAAAGAAAACACACTCATGGTAGAAAACGTGCCAAATATAGGAAACAAAACAACCCCCCCCACCCCCCAGAATCTCCATAACTGAACGGGGCTGTTAATAATTTCACAAGAGCTCCTAGTGCCCTGGCAACACTGTGTGCAATCACGCCATAAGCAAACTGCCTTTCAAATCTTTACTTGATGGCTGTTAAAACTCCCTTGGCCAGCACGACCACTGTGGGGGAGCAGCCCCTCAGGTGACCCCCAGGAAAAAGGGACAGGTCCAGCTGAGGGCCACCCAAGAGCTCTCCTGGCTCCTCCCAGGTATGATCTCAGGTGGGGCTGGGGACCAGGGAGGCCCTTCCAGGGCACCTGGCTGGGGCCCATCCCTGCCTCGCCCACCCGGCCCATGCTGGTGCGGCCCCTCCCGACCGTTCTCCCAGCCAGCACGGGAGGCGTGGGTTAGTGACCACAGCAGACCCTCCAGCGGCCCTGATGTGATGACAGAATATGGTTCTCAAGGAATTGTAGTAGGATTTTTAAGAGCATTCAGAATTGCCACAAAGGAAATGACAGCACTCTCCAATAACCCTGAAAATATGTGTGAGTTCCTCAAAATGTGTTTTAAACAGGTGGCTCTAAAATAATCAGTGAGGCCCATGAGCCATCTCCCACTGAGTTTTGTAAAGTCTGTCCCCTTCCTCTCACGTCCCCAAACATGGATGGCACCACAGCGGAAGCCCTGAGTGTGGGTTTGGTGGAAGTGTGAGTGCGCCTGCCCTGCCTGTGCCCGCCCTGCCTGGCGCCTACTCCCGCTGGGTGTTCGTGTTTGCTTGGAGCTGTCTGTGCTGGAGGCTGCGTGGGCCTGTGGGGCACAGAGACTGTGTGCACCCATCTCTGCCCTCTGCATGTGCCCGGGAGGGAGAGGGCGTGGGTCCAGGGAAGAGAGCGACCCAGACTGAATTTGGGAACTTGAGCTGAGTGTGCACAAGGTGACTCAGGAGTCAGGCAGGGTCACCAGCACGTGCTGAAGCCTGCCAGCCTGTGTCATCATCTCTTGGAACTTGCCTCTGGAGAGGCACATCCCCAGCCCGCCCAGAACTGCTGCATCGGGGACTTCAGGGTGGGGCCGGCAGCCCCGGGTGGAAGAGGCTTCCCGATGCTTCCCTGCAGCCTGGGGTTGAGTGCCCTGCAGAGGAGGACCTCAGCTCCACCTGATGAGAGCTTTGCAGGGGAGCAGCAGGACGGGCGCCCAGGTGGGGCTGGCAGGTGGGGGATGACCGCTCTGGCCGTGGCAGTGAGGGGGACAGAATGCTCATTTCAAGGATGTGTGTCTGGGGACACAGAGGGATGAAAGATGGTCAGAGAGGGAGGGAAGTGAGCTGACGCCCGCCGTCCACACAAGCGGGGGCTGCATGTGAATGGGCAGTGGGGGTCTCCCCCGTACTCCCAACTGCATGCGCAGAAGTCAGAGAAGTAGCTCAAGTTATCTCGCAGGATGAAGTGTGCAGTACCACGCTCAGCCCAGCAAGATGCAGCAAGGCCGCTGGTCAACACCGCAGGGCCGATGAACACGTCACGCTGCGAGGGTCCTCCTCCTGGGTCCTAAAGCTGCCCAGGCCAGCTCTCTGCACAGAGAGCACGGCACCTGGGTGACTGATGGCTGTGCGTGTTTGAAACTTGTGAACGAAGCAGTGTTCAGCCATTCCCAAGTTCTGGACACATCATAACGTCATCAGACAAACACGGGACCTAAAGCATAAGGTCAAGCACACTCTTGCCGATGTGGACAGTGCCCATTCATTCCCTTCTGCAGAAACCCTAAGGCTCCTGGGCATTTTTACAGTAATGCTGTAAGAGACGCCCCCCCTCAGGGAGGGGAGAGAAGATGTCACTCACTCTGCCATGACACACCGCACGTTGCTGGCGTACAGCGCGGGGTTCCTCTTCTCCTCCTCGGACGGGCTGTACACAGGCAGGAACTGCACACACAGAGAAGCTGCGTCACTCCACGGATGTCACAGGACACGGCCCTCACCAGCGCCCTGCAGAGGACCACTGTGAGGCTCTGCCGACATAGTGTCCATCAGAGCCGCCTTCGAAGCAAGCACACACACACACACACACACACACACACACACCCACAGTGCGTGCACCGCACACACAGACGCGCACACACACACACACACAGTGCGTGCACCGCACACACAGACGCGCGCACACACACACACGCACACACACACAGTGCGTGCACCGCACACACAGACGCACACACACACACACGCACACACACCCACAGTGCGTGCACCGCACACACAGACGCACACACACACACACAC